TTTACCATAGATATCTGTGCCTTATTTATGTTATGAGCCTTTGGAGAACAGGATGATAATGCTTGTACTGCGTGGCATTTCTCAGAATACAGAAGATGATAAATTCCAGGTTGTCCAAGAGGCGTACTGAAGTATTCTTGCTATCTTAGGCAGCATTCTTGTTTTCACTGCGCATCTACAACTAGCTTTGCAAGGAGGTTGGTGTGGCTGAACAGGGAGCTTGGTGGAGCTCCAATATGAAAGGTGATATAGAGGAGATGGAAGCAGGGACAGGCTACAGTGGAATAATTTAGAAATATTACCTGAATTTGTTGGAGTAGCCTTGGGAGATACAAAGCCTAAATGCAGTTGAGACTTACATGGGAAGCACAACAAGAATTCATACTAACTTCCAATGCTTTGTTAGTATGAAAAGGCTGAGGAAGGAATATGTGGAACCACTGCTGAATGGAGGAGATGATGTAGTGACAGCAGACACTGATAAATTGGAGGCATTCTGAGGTTTATTTGCTATCTCTATCACCAAACTATCCCATGCATCTGTGCTTAGGGAAAGGGTCCAAAGAGAACCACCAGCAGTGGGTGAGTGTTTAGCTGGGGGTTACTTGAGACAGTTTGACAAGAAAACACCATGGGAGCAGACAGACCACATCCAAGGTGCCAAAAAACCCAAGATTAGATGACTCTGCAGGGCCACTCTATCACATGAGAAGGGTTATGAAAATCATGTAAGGTTCCTTAATAACTGGTAATAGGTAAATGTTGCACCATTTCTTCAGGAAGGCAAAAAACAATCTGAGGAGCTATAAACTGATCAGCATTGCTTTGGTCTCTGTGAAACGTAAAGGATTGGATCTTCTTGGAGCACGTGTCTGGGCATATGAAGGAGAAAGTGATCGAAAACAATCAGCATGGATCTACCAAGTGTAAGTCATGTCTGACTGCCTGATTATATTTATGATTCTATGACTGGATTTGTGAATGAGGGGAGAGAAGTGGCTATCATCTACCTCAAATTTAGCAAGGCTTTTGACATTGTGTCCAACAACATTCTTGTACCCCAGTTGGATGTTATGGTCTGTATGGCCAAAAATTCATTGAATTGGCCCAGAGGAGAATGGTTAAATGAGTTGCTCTCTACCCGGAAAACATTTCCCTGTTTACCTAGTAGAGTGCCACAGGGATCTAGAGACTGGAACAGTTCTGTTTAATATCTTTACCAGGTGCTTCGAGGAGTTCATAAAATCTACTTTCCTCAGATTTGCAGATGATACCAAATTGGAAGGAACAGTGAATATGCTGTGGGCAGTGCTACCATACAGAAGAACCTAGGCAGGCTAGAGGAATGGGCCAAGACGAATCTTATGAAATCCAGCAAGGACAAATGCAAGGTTCCTGTCACTTGGGAATGCTGAGCCCTTGCACCAATACATGCTGGGGGTGACTGGCTTTCCTGCAAGGGCTCTGGAGAGTCCTGGCAGACAGCACACAGCCTGTGCATCAGGAGTGTGCCCTGGCAGCAAAGAAGGTAATGGCATCCTGATTGTGCTGGAGAGAGCACAGCCAGGAGCTTGTGGGAAGGCATTATGCTCGTGCTCAGTACCTGTCAGACCACATCTAGGCACTGTGTCCTTTTGAGCCCCTCCAGGAAAAGCAGTGAGAAATTGGAGCCAAGTTTAGCTGAGACACCCCAGAATGGCTGGAGTCAGAGCCAGGTGAGGAGGACATAAAGGAACTGGATTTATGCAACCTGGAGAAGAGGTGGCTTCAGGTGAACCTGATAGCAGCCTGCCAGCACCTGTGAGGGTGTCTTCAAGAAGACAAAGCCAGGCTCTTCTCAGTGGTAAGTTAAGTGGTGGAAGGACAAGAAACAGCAAGCATAAAGTGAAACAAGAACATTTGGCCTGGGAATAATGGAAAGAAAAACATGTGAAAAAGTAATACTGAGATTGGGTAAAATGGTTTAGGTGTCACACATTAACAGACCATAAATCATGAATAGTCAGGCACCATTTCCTATGTTCCTGGCTCCATCCACCTAATGTATAAAAGATACATTACCCACCACAGTGAATTTCCATTGGCTAGCAATGGAAACCTTTGATGTAGTCCTAATTCTTAATTATAGCAAGCATATTTTTTTCTGCAAAATGTGGCTATAATATTTCAGTTAGTTCAGGCTCCAGCCTGTGTCCACAAGGCATGGGGCAGGCACCTGCCTGCCAGGTTTCCTCTGTGGTATAGGCTTTTTTATTTGGCCTGGCCTATGAGTTCATCTTATTGGCAGAATTTATTAACTGGGACTAGTGCTGCACGAATGAGCTGCACAAGTACCTGCTCACACTTATGCCTGGCTGGTTGGATCATTGGACATCTCCTGTGCTCCTCTGCTGTCCCTCTTCTCTAGTTAGCAAAGGAACTGCCATCCCAAGTCTGCTTGTTTCAGCAGGCATAGCTCTGCCCAGTGTCCCAATAATACATAGTGAGTAAAAAGATTGCCTTTGTTTATTTTTTTTCTATTTGAGAAAGAACGAAGCTGGTGTGGTAGTAGAGGATGAGGATGGAAGAACTGGGCAGTCCCAACCTTTCCATTGTAGAAATCCAGCACAGGTTCTTCACTCACTTCATCACTCAGCCATGGAGTCAGAGGCTGTGATAGTCATTCCTTCCTGTACATGGAGCATGGTCCAGCTTTACTCATAGTCACCTAAAAAAACCCTAAAGTTTCAGTACAGACATGTATTTCCTGATTTTGAATGACTTTGAGAGCAGCTGGTCTAATCTGGGGCAGAGCTTGATCCTACAGCAAAGTATTGCTCCACTTTCACTTCTTCCCAACTCTGAGTTTTCTCTAAAGAACAGGAAAATGGTCTATCTGTGATTGGATGTAGCATTAAGGACACCTCTAAATTTTGTCAGCCAGTGGTTTCAGTATGGCCAGAAAGTTTCAGAATATGGACCTTCAGTCTGGTAAGCATGTTTTGGTGGCTTCTTGGGTCAGAAGTAAAGATGAAGTGTGGAGAAGTGATTGTGCCTACCCCCAGGAATATTACTATGCCACTTCTGCATGACTGGTAGGAACTGACTTGCTGTGAGTGAGGCCAGCAGCCTTGGACTTGGAACTTCTAAAAGGCATTTTTCATCAAGAAGCTTTTTCTTGAATTAATAATTAATTATTTATCATTACCCATTAATGCTTCTAAAATCAAAGTGTTTAGCTTAATGAGTTTATTACAATAGATCCTAAAAAGAGTAATTCTGCCTAGTTTTGAGGAATATCTATTCCCAGAGAGGGAACAATTCAGGCTGAGTTACGTCATGCAAATTGAACTTGTTTGCCCAAATAGTCTCATAGCATAGAAGGGGAGCAATGACAAGAAATGTGGTCCCACCCCTTTATTCACAGGTCTGAATAGTTTCCTGGAGGGTGTGTAGCAACACAGATAATTTACTGCTGGTAGCAACAGGAGGTTTTCTGGAGGAACAAGTGTCAAAGAAACTAGATTACAAGAGTGGTTCTGAGTCACAGAGTCAGCAGGGATGCTCCTGTGTTGGTCAATGCTCAGGGGTGAACTTGGAGTCAAACAACCAGGCAAATGGTTTGGAGAATTTTCCTGTTCAGGGTGAGGTTGAGGACATAGGATTGTTTGGTTGCCTTTGCAGTACTGTACTCAGCAGGAGAAGGGAGACTCGAGCTGACTCTGCATTTCTAGCTGATGGCATGTCCAGCTCTTTGTATACCCAGAGGAGGACTGTGTACACCTGCTGCTCAGTGACCTGCAGGGAATGTTGCTGTGTGGTGCCGACCATCTAGCAGTCTCCTTAGCTTCCAGATGTCTTTCCTTTATTTTTAGTGTTAGGTGGGAAGGAAAGCCTACAGACTTGCATTGTAATGACCCTGAGGTTTCTCTTGGCATCTCCTGCTGTGAGGAAAGGCAAACCATGACTAAGCACTTGGTGTGTCTGAAGAAAAAAAGCTCTGTCAGTCTTCTCAAATATATGAAAATGTGATTCTTGTGGGCATTCTGACATGGAGATCTAAGTAGCCAGGCAGTGACAGCAGAGCCTTCATGTTCTGTGCTCATCATTTTTAGTGAGTCCCTCTGAACTGCATGACTAACTTGTTCAACCACACCTGAATCTGGGTTCCTGGGGGATAAAACCTGTTCTATAGCTTCTTCTTGTGTTACAGAGGCATGGGTGATTTTAACATTAAACATCAAACGTCACTGGCTTCTGGATTAGGGAATTAATATGTTCCTAGAATCACTTGTTAAACCAGCAATGCACATGGTATAGCTTATAATACATGTGCCTGTTTACAGCCTACAGGAATGGTGTTGCTTTCTTTACACTGTTTTTGTGCTAGACTTCTGTATGCTTGTCACAGATTTTGGGGACTTCAGACACAGAACCACTCCGTCTGTTTTTAGGTTGCCTACAAGCTGTGTAGTCTTGCATGCCTATGTACAATTAATTCCTCATATTTCAGGCCAGCCTGATAGATGACAGAGTTGAAAACAGAGATACGCGAGATCTCATCTGTGTAGAGTCATAGAATTGTTTGGGCTGGAAGGAACCTTAAAGGTCATCTCGTTCCAATCTCCATACTGTGAGCAAGACACCTTTCCACTAGAACAGGTTACTCACTGCTCCATCCAGCCTGGCCTTGAACACTTCCAGGATGGGGCATTCCCAATTTCTCTGGGCTCACCATCCTCACACTATGGAGTTTCTTTCTAATATCTAACCTAAATCTACTCTCCTGCAGTTAAACTCATTCCCTCTTCTCCTGTCACTACATGTCCTTGTAAAAAGTCTCTCTCCATCTTTCTTGTAGGCTCCCTTCAGGTACTCGAAGGCTGCAATCAGGTCACCCTAATTTTTTTTTTTTTCCCAGGCTGAACAAAACCAAATCTCTCAGCCTTTCCTCACAGGAGAGGTGCTCCATCCTGCTGATCATCTTGACGGCCTCCTCTGGATTTGCTCCAACAGGTCCATAGCCTTTCTGTGCTGGGGACCCCAGAACTGACACAGCACTGCAGGTGGGGCCTCACCAGAGCAAAGTAGAGGGGCAGAATCACAGGGCTTTGGATGCAGCCCAGGACCTGTTTGGCTTTCTGGCCTGTGAGTGCACATTGATGGCTCACGTCCAGCCTCCCATCCACCAGCACCCCCAATCCTGCTGGGCAGGGCTTCATCCCTCGCCTGGGCTGATTCCAGGGGTTGCCCCAACTCAAGTGCAGCACACTGCACTTGGTCTTGTTAAACCTCATAATGTTCCCATGGGCCACTTCCCTCATGGCATCCAAATCCCTCTGAGTGGCATCCCACCCTTCAGGTGTGTGAACTGCATCACTCAGCTGGGTGCCATCTGCAAATGTGCTGAGGGTGCACTTCATGCCTTTGTCTATGTCAACAATGAAGATATTAAATAGTGCTGGTCCCAGTACAGATCCCTGAGGGACATCCCTTGTCACTGATGTCCATTGGGACTCTGAGCCATTGACCAACACCCTCTGGATGCGACCATCTAACCAGTTGTTTATCCACCTTACAGTGTACCCAATGAATCCATCTCTCCAATTTAAAGAGAATGTTATTGTAGGGAACCGTGTCAAAGGCTTTGCAGAAGACCAGATAAACGTCTATCAGGCAATATAATTCCACAGCCAAATTAACGAGGGTATAACAACTTCTAAGTTTGAAGTTGGTTCTACTTTGCATGCAAGATTTAACCAAATGACCTCAAGAGATACCTTCCATCTCAAATTATGATTCTAACAAAAGAAGGATTTTTTTCAAGAGATACTTAAAACCTTTACTTTGAGCTCTGAAGTCATAAGGGAAATTACTAGGACTCCCTATGCAAGTCAGAGATTAATGAAGGTCATGCTCTTTCCATCTGTGGACTTCACAAACCACATCAGTACTTCCTATACCAATGATCTTACTATTTCTGGAACTGGTGAAATTATATTCACTTCTGCATGCTCTAAATTTACCCCTAAATTACACAGAAATACCAACCCTAAAATGCATGTAGAAATGAAATAAAAATTCACAACTGTCTGGATGCCCCCTGCAGACCCGTGCTGACTTTACGGTTACTGATGACTAAACAGTAGTTACTCTTGCTTAGCCCAGTGATGTGAAGGCTGGGTTGAGCCCTGTTCCTGGTTTCCTGTCCTTAATTTACTCTGCCTACCATAAATGAATAAGGATGGGTTATTGTATGTACAGCAGGTGCCAGGCACATTCTCTGGCTCTTTTATTTCCTCTTCTTGAGGAATTCACAGACGAAGTAGATGGTGACTTGGCACTCAGAGTCATTCCACTCTCCTGTGCTGAGCATTTCCACACAGTCCTCGTGACCAGCTGGGTCATGAGGCTCCCCTTGCTTCCAGTTACTGTAGTTCTGCAGTGGGCTGTTGTCTGCATACACAAACTGTCCTTCTCTTTCCATGTCATTCAGCCCAATGAAGGCTCGGAACAGGCCGCTGTTGGAGATGTAGTCAGCAATCAAGGCATTTGTTGCCTCATCTTTAGGCATGGCCAGTGATCCTCCTCTGTCCCTGCAGTGGATCAAGGCTTCTCTGTAATTCTTCTCTTCTTTCACAATGTAATAGAATTTCTCATCTGTCTCCCTGATACCTGCTATAACTTTGAAGAAGAAAAATTGCTTAGTGGCATGTCAACAGATGCTGAAGATTATTCTATTCCAATATGACAATAAGATGATTTTTACATTAGAATTAATAAAAGGGAAGGAGGAAGAGTATTCCCACCACCATTCATTTGTGATGAATGATGAGGACATGATCAGAGATTGATGTGACTAATGGGATTATCAAGCACTTAGCACACATTGGGACAAGAACTACTCAGTCCTGATTGGTGCATCTCCTGTGACACTTCAGTTTTATTTCCTGGATGTTTAGTCCAGCAATCAACTTAAGGCATGCTAAATTGTCAAATGGCAATGTCTTATTCTGCATCACCCTATTCCTTTGTATGTTCTTGAATATAATTGTGAAAGAGTGCCCAGGGGTAGAAACACAGCGGTATAAATAGCTTTTCAGGCCCTTTCCATGTGGAAGAAAATGAATGTGACTGCTAAGATAAGACATTTTAGATACGGCCTGATACTCAGAGCTGCTGTAGCACTGTGGCATTGACTTGGAAGATGATTGTGGTTGCTCAGCAGCTTTAAAAGGCAGACTGTCAACCAGTGAGTTTATAGCCTAGTGAATTAAGCAGTGCCAAGGAGCATGCCTGAGTTGCTGGAAATTGATTGTCTCTGCTAATGGATTGGAGTGGTCCTGATCAGAGTTTGGCCTCAGAAAATTAACACTCTCCCAAATAATTCAGGAGTTACCCCAGGCACGGCTTAGAATTTAGTAGAGGGACACTTGTTGATAATACATCATTCAGTTTTGTAGAATTTTAAAAATAGATGGGTGTTGTTCTGTGCTGGATGCCCGCAGTGACAAAGAACAGTCTCAAATTAATTTAATTTACTGATATAACCCTAGTCCTGGAAGCAGTGGTAGAGCTGTCTCACTTTATGCTCATCACTTTATCACTTTTATGCCAGAAAACTCCCTTCCTTTCAGTGGGGCAGTTTGCACTGCCCATCCAACAGCACTGCCTGCAAATGTGCCTTCTTATAACCCATAGCCTCAAGTGTTGGTCCCTTGTTACAGGAAAACTGTGTGTGCACTGAGGGGAGCATTAGGAGAACTGAGTCTGCAGTCTTCCCGGGCAGCAGAAAGATCAAGAGATTCTTATTGCTCTTCCTTCCTCTCTGGAGCAGACTGGCACAAACTTCTCCCTTATATTGCCTGACTGGCTACCAAACCTGAGCACAATGACAGTGCAGAGGTGGCTAGCAAATAATTCCTTGTGCTTTTCATGATGTATTCTCTTGTGCTGTTGATAACTTCTGTAATTTTTCTTTTTTTTGCTTTAGTCATCTGATCCTTTTATCCTTATGGGTTTTCAGAGTGCCTGAAAGAGCAGACCCTCTCTCTGGGTCATCCGTGGACACTTCCATAGAGCAACAATGGTAGAAGAATAGCAGTGATATCTGTCATTGGAGTCAAATAAATCCCCTCAAATACATAAGGATCCTTACCATTCTTCACGAACTTGATGGATGTGTTAAGACGAGCAACATTGATATTCAGTTGTCCAACAAATCTGCGGTATCTTCCACAGTCACAGACCGTGCCTGATGCAATACAAAAGACAGAGCATTTACCTATTTGGAAGCATTTGGGGGTGTGTGTGTGCATGGAGAGTCACCTGTATCCCACTTCCAAAGCTTCTGAAGACCTGGGCTCCACTTATGGAGAGCCAGTCTCGCCTTACCCCACTGGCTACACTTCTGTTGATCAAAGTGTTTAATGTTTTGGCTCTGTACACTCTGTACACTCCCTTGCTAACTGGCTTAAGCAAGTTAATACCAATCCAAATAATCAATATATTTCAAGCACTGAAGTCTCAGTTAATCCTTTTTTTTAACTGGAATTTGGCTTGCTAGAGGTTTTGTTTGTTCTTTTGTTTTTTTCAGAAAGAAAATAAGTTGCTGATAGTTTTCCATTAAGCACCAAATGGCCATTTTATATGCAATCTCTTAAAAATAAACACTAGTATATGTTCCAGGTGGGTAACCATTCAAGGTTACTAGGTTTCTAGTTCATCCGAGTCAAATTCTCCTCCTGTAAGCAAATGCATTGCATTAATTTGACAGCAGATTATGTTTCTGTTTAAAATCACTTACTTTTTAATCCCCATGCTCCTATTAGGAAACTGTTAAAGGGCTTAATTCCTTTGATACTAAGAAACTTTCTTCTAGTATCCAGTTAAAATGCATACTGCTGGCCTGTTTGTTAGTTTTTATGATACCAAATATTGCCCATGAATTTGGGTGACTTCATATTTTGTGTATACTGATGTATACATAAGAATCAGTCATGTCCCTACACTATCCTTTATTTTGTTCAACAAAACATTTTGATGATGAATTACGTTTCATCTGTTCTCCTTGGGCCTCAATTACACTCCATCTATTTTCCTTGCGCCTTTCAATCTATTTTCCTTGGGCCTCAAAATTTAATGGAATTCCATACAAACCAACCCTGAAATCAAAGATCCAGCAGATTTGACCATTCTGCCCAGAAGGATGCACAGCATACCTGCTTTTCCTTTTTTTCCTGAAACCCCTGGTAAGCCTTTGGCTCCTTTGTCACCTGAATAAAGAGGAAAATATATTCTGAGATCTCAGACAGTGCATGTGTCAGGGAAGCATATCCAAAAACCTATTTAATAATATATTAACAATGTGCTTTTGATAGGAAGCTCTGATGGACTGTACTGGAAGATGTGCCAAGTTAAACAAACCAAGATTAATTCTGGTGCATGGAAATGAAAACCCTTTAATAGCTAACTCACTGATAACACAGGCATCTTGTGTGCTGCTGGTTCCTGGTACCACTTACTTTAAATGTAAACTGCAAAATGATCCTGAGAGGCTGAAAGCACTTAAGAAATCTTGAAAAGGTGAGATCTGGGTTCTCTCAGGGGCTGCAGGGCAGAGCCCTTCCCCAGGTTCAGTAGCTCCATGGTGAGATGAGGCAGCAGGTGTGCTCTGAGCCACTGAATTCATGCGTGCAAGAGATTGCGTGTGCAGGCAGCAGTTGGCACCTGCATGGAGGGAGGTCATTAAGGAGCAGCACTTCAGTTCAGTTTATGGAAATGTGATTTATTTGCATCCAACTGCTTTCCCTCTCTTTTGTAAATTATAAAAAGGATAGAAATACTTCTCCAAATGCTCTGCGACTGTATAACTGGAGGTGACCTGTTCTTTAAAAAATCTCAGTTGTAATTTGGGTCAGGAACAGCTGGACTTAATCTGAAATTCATGTCAGCTCTTTTATGAATAAAACCTTCAGAGGTCAAAACATACTAATAATTATTCTGCCTCATTGATGACCACATTTTAATGTACTTTTTACTTTATATGGTTGTGTTTTTTTAAAGAATTCAGATGTGGGCTGTCATTTTAATTAGCAGTGCTTGACACTGCACACTTGCAAGCTGGAATTTCAGGCTTGTTTCATTAAGAACTCCAATGTTTAGTCATAGATTTAAACAGTGACCTTTGCTTCCGCAAATAAAGAAAATGAGAAAAAACTGTACAGGGACAATAAATTGTGCATTCAGATTAAAGAAGAACTTGATTTAAAAGCTCAGAATGTTGGTTTACTTTTGGATAAAGAAAAGTAACTTGTGAGATTGTTCATTTTGTCTCCTTTGGAGATTGAAGACATTTTAGGAGATAACTCTCTGAGTTTTCAGTTTTCTAGGTACTTCTGAAAATTAATCCCTCAGGTCAAAATATTTTCTTCTTGCCTGATACTGAGGCTGGCTGGAGGCCATGAAACATTTATTAAAAACAGTGGTTTGAGAAGCTCTCCAGAGAGGCTGTTCCACCCACCCAACAGTATATCCAAGTTGATGTGCTGGTCTGAGACCCCAGAGTTCTCCTGGCAGTGGTGGTGTCGCTGATCAGCTTTCAAGGCAGGCCTCCTTGTGGCAGAAGTAATATTCCTTCCTAAGTAGCTCTTTAGGAATATCAGAAAGGAATGCCTGAGCTTCTTCTCTAGATAAATAGAGCACAGTTTCTTGAAATTATTGTCCAGGCAGATTTGGAGTCTACCTTGATTTGCAAGTAGTTGCCATCCCTGCTTATGTGAGCACCTTCTTAAAATTCCTGAATTCATTCCTTAACAGGGCAGGGATGTCCTGTGCATTGCTTGCTCATGTGACTCACAGCAGTGCAGGTGACAAAGTGTGCTATCCTCTGCAGCAGCAGGACATTAACTTAGGTCTTTAGCATCCAAATCAAAGGCACAAATTTGTCTCTTAGAGTGCTCAGAGGATTTATTTCACAGGAACTGGATTTCTTCCTCTTCTTTTACCACAGAATTGTAGAATAGTTTGGGGTGGAAGTGACCTTTAAAGGTCATCTAGTCCAATCCCCATGCAATGAGCAGAAACACCTTCAACTAGATCCATCAAAGAGAATTGATGAATTGACTCATAAAAGAAATTATTTTTGCCAAATTAGTTGGATATATTGCATGAAGAAATAAAACTAAGGTATTTCAGTTCACTCTCATACCAATCTTTATGCATAACTTTATTTGGAGAGCATTGGTTGTACCATTATCTAATATTGCACCATATCTGGAGCTCTCATAAAGCACATATTTACCTTGAGGGAAAAAACCCCAAGAAAATTCCCAGACCAGAGCTTACCCTTTCCACCAATTGGACCAATTTTACCAAGCATTCCCTGGTCACCAATATCGCCCACTGGTCCTTTGTTTCCTAAGAGAAGAAATGAAGAAGAAATGAGTATGGGTGGTTGCTGTAATTTCTTTTCTGAGGCATTGTTTATGTCTCTACTGCTGCTGTTTTTCCTGTGTGTGGCCAGTCTGTCTGTGTGGCAAAGTGAAGTGAGCACAGCCCTGAGGATATCTGGGAGAGTGCAGCCAGATCTCCGCTCCGGTAGGGTATGACAGTAGGACATGGCATAGAACCTTAATAGAATTGCCCGTTCAAACATCATATTGTCATAGAGAAAATAGAAACTAAATCTGCTAGTGATTTACTTCACAGTCAAATCAAGCTGGCACCTTTTATTTTTCTCCACCCCAGGCAGAACACTTTCCTAAGTCCGTGTGGCTTTGCTAGGAGTCCTTCTTAAAGCAGGACTGCAAGTAGGGAGCTACTAATTTTGCTGTATGTGTTTTCTCAGTCTTCAGAGCACCAAAATAACAGGTGTCCTTTTAAATTGATTAATAAATAGTGTAAGTTCTGAAATAGCTGTCTAATGATGACAGGCCAATCTAGAGAATCTCAGTTTGCAAAAGGACTTTAAGATGCTTTGTAAATTGTTGATCCCCTGAATTCCTTGTATCTTACCTGCTGTTCATTTTAAGGTAAGAAGCAAAATTGTAAGAATGCATTTTAAAATGGAAGAAGTTTTTTATTATAACAATAATAACAGAGTGATTTAAAGTAAAAGCTTTCCTGCCTAATCTTAAGCCACAGTCAAGGAAGGAAGATTTTGGATATGCATTATCATTAAACTCTAAAGATAAATTAAACTTTCAAATTAGAGTATGCAAACAAGGTGGACATGGTCATATCTGGTGCCTCCAAATGATATGCCCAGGTCACACTGTGGATATAGGACATACTAAATTGAGCCAAGTCCTGAAATATCTGCAACTCCTTGTTCTCATTTGGATGCTGTTTGATCAGAGGAACTTTTTATTTGTGTGTGTATGGCTTTGTTTGCTTTGTCTGCAGAATACAGACAACTGAAACCAAATTTTATTGAGCACCCTGACATATTGCTAGGCAATAATGCTCAAAATTCAATTTCAATTAAAGGTTAATTTCAGTAAGAGTAATCTTTCTGATTATGTATATGATCTAGGTTTTATGAATAACACTCATGACAGTCATACATACATACAGTTGTTTATAATGATATTCATATGCCAGCAATAGCCAACAAACCATCATAAATACCTTTTGGTCCTTTTGGTCCAACCTTTCCTTGTTTGCCTACTTCTCCTCTGTCTCCCTTTTCACCTTCATCCCCTTCAAAAAAAAACCAGAAAATAAAACATCATGGTACATTTCTCTCAGTGCAGTAAGTACAACTAAACACATTCAGAAAGAAAAGTTCATGGGGGTTTTTTTGCCCTACTGATTTCTTTTTATTTGACATTGAAAGCACAGCAGCCATGGGATAACTTTTCAGAAAAGAGATGAGGAATCTGACCATCAATAGGAAAAGCTAAGGACTTTCCCTTTCAGAGAGGCTGTTACAACATGAAAATTATACAACAGCAATTCATACTCCTACACTTCCAGCATTATTAGCTATAAAGCAGATAAATAAACCAATCTTTTGGTATTGGGAAACTTGAGCACACTGGGGCAAACTGCCAAGGGAGGCAACAGGTGTTTGTTAATTGTTCCTAGTGATTCCATTCCTAGTGACTCTGTGTTCAGGGTATGCAGATGCTTTTGGAATGAGAGGAATGTAAATATGTTGAAATAGATCTTGACATAGACCCTGGCACTTAATGTGACACAATTCTTGCCTTCATTTTTTGACAGATGGCATTTGTATGTTGATACAAGAAACTTGTTTTGCAATTGCTCCAATGCTTTATTTTGAAAGGTCATAGACAGAATATCTGTAAGAGGCAAAATCATTGCATTTATTATGGTAGAGATTTCTCTAAATGAGATTGAGACCCTATTACACAGGTTCCTCTATAGTTCTGTATAAGCACTTTCACTGCTAGAAGACAGTCTCTCACTGTGCAGTGTATAGGGTAAAGGTGCAAGGCAGCAATTAGTCAGAAATAAATGTTATTTCCTTCCACAAGTAGCATACAATGGTGCTTTGCATGGAAGGGAAGGAGGGGGACTAAAGATGATTTTGTCATCTTCTTAGTTTGGAGCCAGATCCTGATAGAAAGATTTTTTTTCTCCCCCCAGCAGAGGTGGGGAAGAGTCACACAACTCGCCTGCACCAACGGGTGATCACAGAACATGGGCAGCCTTCCAGAGCCTCTCCCATTGTTCCCTGCCTGTGCTGGCAATGAGCCTTGCTCTGCAGTGGGAAGCAGTGCCACAGCCTCTTGGCTCAGCCAGGATCTCACGTGGTAGTGGCAGCCAGTTGTGTCTGTGCCTGCTGCCCAGGAGGGGAGAAGGCTGTTGTTCATGGAGTGCATGTCGTTCATGGAGTGCATGGAGAGCCAAAGGAGGGAAGCGTTTCTGAATATCAGCCAGAGAGGTGAGGACAGAACAGCACTATGTGACAAGACCAATAGCCTGTCTCACCAAGGGTGTTCCTGCAGCCCCAGCAGAAAGTGTGCAGGGCACTGAGGTGTACTGAGGGTGACTATAGCCCAGGCAGCCACTTCCTGGGCTCACATTCCACTCACAGCAATAGTTTCAGTGCTTACCTGAGCCAAGCACTGCATCCCCTCCCCTCATGAACAACCACTAGTGATTCTTCTCTCCACCAATTAACCTTGTGCCTTTTAAACCCATTTATACCTTTGGCCCTTTTAATAAATATCTTGTGGCAAATAGCTCAATGATTTTTTTAATGTGCTGGGGAGAAAGTACCTTCCCATGGTTGCTTTAAGACTGATCATTACATTGTTCTTATTTTTTTCTGAAAAATACTGCCCACTCATTCCTGATTTGCCTTCTACTTCTGTAGTCAGAGGTAGCTTGTCATGGGCTGTTCTGCAGAGTGATAGCAGATGAGAAGTGCTGCACATGAATTGCAGCACATAAAATTTAGTTTTAGCTGTTTGGCTCCTTTCCATTCCAGTTACATGGACTGAGCTGAGCCTGTCCCTTTATGCTGAAAAAGCCCTTCCATGCTGGGACTCTCTTGTGAAGGGCAGACTCACCCTGTTGGTCAGGATGCCCTTTGGGGGCAAGGTCAGTGGGCCAAGGAAGATAAAGGGCTGAACTTCAGTTCACATTGAAGGGAGGAAACAATTGCTGCTGAAGGGGTGGACAAGGAGGAAACAATGTGGTGTGTGCTGGCTCACTCAGGCTCTTTTTTTTTTTAACACCAGCTTCCAAAGGTAACGTAGGAAAAGAAAAGTCTAAAAGCAGTCAGCAATATAAATTTTAAACATGTCTCTTTTCACTGGGTCTTAAAAATACTGTAAAAGCTAGTGTATATTTCTAAAAGCCAAGCTCCTTAAATATTCAGCTGAAGCTGTGGGTCTGAGCTGGGAGCTGATGAAAGGATGCCTGCTTTTACTGAGTTCCAGTCCTTCCAAGAAGGACTTGGGGGTGCTGGTGGGTGGGAGGCTGGACATGAGCTGACAATGTGCACTCACAGGCCAGAAAGTCAAACATGTTCTGGACTCCACCAAAAGCAGAGTGGGCAGCAGGTCAAGGAGGTGATTTTGTCCCTTCCCTCTGCTCTGGTGAGACCCCACCTGCATCCACCTCTGATGAGGAAGGACACAGAGGAAGGACATGGACCTATTGGAGCAAGTCCAGAGGAGTTGCTCTGGACTCCACCAAGTTGATCAGAGGGATGGAAAACCTCTCCTATGAGGAGAGGCTGGAAGATTTGGTTTTGTTCAGCCTGGAAAAAAAAAGGCTTTGGGGTGACCTAATTGCAGCCTTCCAGTACCTGAAGGGAGCCTACAAGAAAGATGGAGAGAGACTTTTTACAAGGACAGGAGAAGAGGCAATGAGTTTAACTGCAGGTGAGTAGATTTAGGTTAGATATTAAAAATAAATTCCATACTGTGAGGGTGGTTAGCCCAGAGAAGTTGCAGATGCCCCATCCCTGGAAGTGTTCAAGGCCAGGCAGAATGGGGCTCTGAGCAACCTGGTCTCACAGAAAGGTGTCTCTGTTCATGGCAGGGGGATTGGAACGAGATGACCTTTAAGGTTCCTTCCAACCCAGACCATTCTATGGTTTTATGATTCTACTGACCACCAAACAGCAGAGCTAGAGAATGCATGGTTTAATTTTGCTGTTGATTTCAGTGCTAACAAGAGGAAATTGTTCTTTCCAAATCCATGTATGAAACCCCTGTGAAGGTGCAAAAGTCACTTTTCAGTAGTTCAGAAATTCAGAAAAGTTCCCAGAGGGTGATAAAGGGCTTGTGAAAGGACAATTTGGGAACAGCTTAAGAGCTGATCTCATCATTGTCTGTAAACCCATATGGGGGAAATATATGTCATAATAGAAAGGAGGCAATGCATGATCCAAAGACTAGAAAGGCTGGATGAATCTTGACTAGAAATGCAATATGGCAATATTTCACAAATGGACCATGTTCTCTGATAAGGAAGGGAGATGGGAGAGGCTTTTCATGTCCAGCCTTTCCCTGTGCAATGAATTCCTTTGAGTAAAATATGCTGTAATTCTGGGTCTGGTATAAAAGCTGCTGAGGGAGATTCCTTGGCCTGCGGAAAACAAACCATATTCCTGCTGACCTTCCAAACCAGGGCTTGTCATCCTGGCAGTCCTCCTCACCTTTCTCAGATCAGCCAGTTCTATTCTCTGCAGGCTGCTCTGTAGAGTTAAAAGCTATGGAAGTACTGTTGTTTGCAGAAGGAAGATCTCTGTGCAAGATCGATCCTTCCTTCCTTCCTTCCTTCCTTCCTTCCTTCCTTCCTTCCTTCCTTCCTTCCTCTAAAAATAGAACCCAGGAAAGAAAGTCAACATACAAGTGGAGAAGCTGTGATTATTTTCTAAAGGTGTTTTATTCCTGTCTCAGTTTCAATATTTTGAGCCACTGAAAGATCCAGTGACTTTTCCTGAGGGACTTTGTAACAAGATTTTCACACCTAGGGCTGCTGGAGTTGAAGCTACATTGTCCTGTATGGACCATCAGCCTGAGAGCTGACAGGGGAGAGGACTGAAAGGTGTGGCCAAGTTTGTTCTGGAGATTTCCAGAGGTCAGGGAGTGCCTCAAATTTTATTAACACCTTATGTGACCCAAATTTTTGCTTAAGACCTCTAAAAGCCTAAGGGAGAGGGAAATAAGTTCCATCACCGGTTTCATTTTGGTGTAAAGAAGCCTGCCACACTCTGTCTTACTTTTCATATCCAGGAAAATGGGAAGAAAAATAATTTGTCTGTCTATAAGAGAGGGTAATCCTGCTTTTCTCCCCACCTGTCATCTGAGAATACGTAAGCCATTACAAAACAAGGGTAGAAACAAACAGTATTAGTTATTGATACCATTTTGTTGTTAATTTACGACTAGATTAAGCCCAGTGCCTGCTGATACGAAACGTGCTCTGTCCTCCTTGAGCTGCTGTGTGCTGTGATCTCAAATTCTGGCACGAAATGTGAACTCTTGGGTTGTGCTTCCCTCTTGTGGTCTTGCTGTGATTTGCAGCCAGGTAGGAGAGAGTGTGAGAGGTTGGCTGACTGTTTTGGGCAGGGGTTGAGTTGGCTTTATTTCTAGTTTACCATAAGTATTCCTCCCTTTCCTCTGAGACTTCATGTGTACTAGCCATCCCACTGCATTAGCCACCCTTTTTTAAATTTTAATCTTCTAGGAAAAAAATATCTGTCCTGCTAGTACTCTGAACTGTTTTTTTGAGTTCCATAGTACTGTGCTTTGTGCAACACAAATTTTCTGATCCCTGACCTCATATGCTTGTTATCTGTACCTAGAGGCTAACCTCTCCTTTGTGCTGCTTTGCACTTGGGGCAGTGTCAGGTTAAATTTTAACCTAATTAGTAGATTGTCACTTTAAAGCTGTGGTTGCAGAGATGTCAGATATTATACGGCACTGGCATTTGAAGCGTGGGTGAAGAAGCACTTGGATAGATTAACTAAAGTAAGACTATTTCTCAGCCTTGTTAGTATTTCTTCAAGCTGATTGGTTTCTTGTGTGTCACAGGTGTGAAATACCACATTGCTGGAAGAAACACCTGAAGCAGTAAATCACTAGACTCTTCCAGCTTGGGACTTTGCAAGGCAGAAGAGCAGAAACCATAAGAAGTAAGTAAATTTTGCAGCCATTAGAAAATTTTAATTGTAATTGAGAGGGAGCCACAGACCTTCTGTAAACAAGCTCAG